AGGTTATGGCCCAAGAAGCAAAATGATGGGAGTCTGTCCCGAAATGGTGATTACGATTGGGGACATCGCGGTGAAGGCAATTGTGGATACAGGCTCCCAGGTGACGACAATCACGGAAAATTTTTACACCAAATGGATGAAAGGAAAAGACCATAGGTTGAGGTCTGACACATGCATGCGCCTGACGGCAGCTAATGGACTAACCATTCCATACTGTGGTTATTTTCTGGCGGATGTCGTGGTGGCGGGACATAGGTTGAAGCAGGTTGGGGTGTTCGTTACGAAACACAACCTAGAGACAAATGTGTCAAATATACCTTGCCTGTTGGGCATGAATATTCTTGGCCAGTTGCCAGAATTTCTTACAAATATTGTCGGATCGACCACACCAGGTCGGGGATCCAAGTTGGCCAGGTTTGCCAAGACCAGAGGAAGGATATCAGTCCCGGCAAACACGGTCAAGGCAATCACATTACAAATTGGTGATAGAAGCGTGAATGGTGATGTGATGATAGAACCATGTGGCGCCGCACTGAGGGCAGGCGTCGTGTTACTGCGGACATACACATCAGCGGAAAATGGACTAGTTCAAGGATTAGTGGCAAATGTTTTGGATGAGGAAATTTTTATACCGCCTAATACTCTGGTAGGAGTACCACAGAACGTCGAGGTACAAAGGTCGGCACAGTGCATCGAACTGAGCAATACCAGCAGTAATGAAGTAACAGTTAGGTCGGTCAATGTGACGGCCGAGGTGAAGAAAGAGGATGGCCGATCATATACATTCCCGGAAACTGAGGACCCAAAACTAAATGAATTGTTGAATAAGTACAGGGATATATTTGCCTCGTACGAGGGTGATTTGGGTTACACGGAAGTAATAAAACACCAGATACCCTTACTACAAGACAAGCCGGTGGCGCAACCTTATCGAAGATTACCACCAAGTCACTACTCTGCGGTGAAAGCACACCTGAACGATCTACTAAAAAAGGGAATTATTACAACCAGCACGAGCCCGTATGCGGCACCGATAGTAGTGGTAAAAAAGAAGTCAGGGGAGATAAGACTGTGTTGTGATTACCGGAAATTGAACAATATCACAAGAAGGGATGCATTCCCCTTGCCTCGTATTGATGAATGTCTTGATGCGTTGGAGGGAGCAAGATTTTTTTCTACCTTCGATTTGGCTAGTGGCTACCACCAAGTGGCCATGCACCCCAACGATCAACATAAAACTGCATTTATTTCTCCACTGGGACTGTACGAGTGGACCCGTATGCCGTTTGGTCTAACTAATGCACCTGCTACATTCCAGCGAGTAATGCAGAGTGCTATGAGTGACTTTCTATTTCAAATAATGTTGGTGTACTTGGATGATATACTAGTTTACTCAAAAACTTGGGAGGACCATCTAGAAAGATTAGAACAAGTGTTTCTCCGTCTTAGGGAGATAGGAGTAAAGCTGAACCCAGACAAATGCTGCTTCGGTCTGAAATCGGTACATTTTTTGGGTTACGTGATTTCGTCGGATGGCATCGCCACTGACCCAGATAAAATTGCAGCTGTTAAAGAATGGAAACAGCCAACAACTACAGTAGAGGTCAGATCATTCTTGGGCTTTGCTTCCTATTATAGAAAATTTGTGCCTGGTTTTGCAAAAATTGCCGCACCATTGCATGACTTGGTAAACAAAATGACAAAGAAACACAGTAAGGAGAAAAAGAAAGGTAAAACACAACGGATAGGTGAATTATGGACTGATGAATGCCTGAACTCGTTTAAGCTATTGAAAAAGGCTTTGACAGAGGCGCCGATATTAGGATACGCAGACTTTGACAAACCATTTCGGCTAGAAATTGACGCCAGCTCTAAAGGTCTGGGAGCTGTGCTATCACAACAACAAAAGCAAGGCTTCAGGGTTATTGCTTATGCCAGTCGAGCTCTGAAGGAATCAGAGAAGAACATGACAAATTACAGCGCCATGAAACTAGAACTTTTGACATTAAAATGGGCTGTGACTGAAAAATTCAGGGACTATCTATTAGGTGCTAAATGTGTGGTATACACTGACAATAACCCCTTGAGTCACCTAAAGACAGCAAAGTTGGGATCCATCGAACAGCGATGGGCAGCAGAATTGGCACTCTTTGACCTAGAGATAAAATATCGCCCGGGGCGGTCCAATGGCAATGCGGACGCCTTATCAAGGAATCCTTACGAGAGACCGGGCGATGAGGAAGAAACGCTGACAGGAATATGTGAGGTCAGAGCGTCAACAGATATCCCTCACGGGGTGCAAGTGAGGCAGAACGGACAGACCGGGGTGGAGCACATTTCCACAGAGCCCGGACATATGGACATTGGTAATTTTAATTGCCTTAATCACAAAGAGATAAGAGATGCCCAGAGAACGGATAGTGGCTTACAGCCGCTGTTGAAACACGTCCAGGAACAAAAATTCCCAGGAAGAAGGGAAAGAGAACAATTTGGTCGAGAAACAAAGAAAATACTGAGTCAGTGGGACCGTCTCAGTATACAGGATGGTGTTCTCATGCGGAGAATTTATGACCAAATTGATGGGACAATACACCAGGTGGTGGTGCCTGGACAATTACGAGAAGAAGTGCTAAGGTTGGCACATGACAGGGCAGGACACCAGGGTCAGGACAGGACGCACAAAATATTACGACAGAGGTGTTACTGGCCCAATATGGAAATGGAGGTCAAACGCCATTGTGAGGCTTGTGTGAGGTGTCAGCATGCGAAAATGCCAGTTGTCAAAATGAGACAGCCATCAGGACACCTACTAGCGACAAAACCACTAGAGATTGTGGCTATGGACTTTACGTCGTTGGAGCAATCATCGGATGGGACGGAACATGTGTTGGTAATGACTGATGTATTCACCAAATGGACTGTGGCGGTGCCCACACGAGATCAGACTGCCAAAACAGTGGCAAAGGTCTTAATAGAACATTGGTTCATCAAATATGGCATACCAAGACAATTACACTCTGACCAAGGAAGGGCCTTTGAGTCAGAAGTAATTAACCAACTGTGCAGCCACTACGGGATCAACAAATCTAGAACAACCACATTTAATCCGAAAGGAAACGGACAGTGCGAGCGGTTCAACCGCAGCATGCATGATTTGCTGCGTACTCTAGAACCTGAACAGAAAAAACGTTGGCCTGATTTTCTCCCAGAGTTGGTATATCTATACAACTGCACACCCCATGCCACAACCGGCTTTTCGCCATACATGTTGCTGTTCGGACGGGAGGCTCGACTCCCCCTTGACTTGTTCCTAGGAAAAAAGGAGAGTATGACTGGCTCATACACTGCACTGGAATATGTGAATGAACATATGAGACGAATTAGAGAAATGTACAGGGTAGTACAGGAAAGACTAGAACATGAAGCACGGCGAAGGGAACCGCCGGTACAGACAAAGGACCCGCCACTCAAACTGAACGACAGGGTATTACTGCGTAGCCACCCGTTAGGCAGAAACAAAATCCACGACCTCTGGGGACAGGAGATATGGCAAGTCGTGGAGATGCCTAAAGTAGCAGGTGGCCCCTTTAAGATAAGACCCATCGATCACACCAAACCGGATCGGTGGGCGAATATTGCTCAATTAAAGAAATATTGTCATAGTCAAGAAGAGCAGTTACACACAAGGAAACCCAAGACAATTAGGGAACCGGAAACTATAACGGAAATTCACATACCCATCCCGGAACCATGTCACCATCAACAGCGCAACAGCGACACACAAGGGGAGGATACCGGCAACAAGGAGGATCCCGGTCCCTCCAAAAGCAGAGAGACAATAGACCATCAGATAAGTGGTCCGCGGAGAAGTTTGAGAAACAGAAAGAATACGAAATTTTTTGTCAGCAACCATCAATTCTTTCATGGTCGCGCTGGTATGAAAACAGACTGTTCAAAAAGTCATAAAAGTGAACTGGTGAAGGCACCAAACGAAAAAAGGTGGATGTGAATTCTAGAACTGTTTTGTGTCTGAGGAAGATGATGTAGACACATTTGATATGTGAAATAGGGATAACGGTCAATCTTTTACGAATGTGACGACATTGACAGTGAGTGGAACAATGAATTTTTTTTGCGGTGGTGCGATTGACTTTGAAGGACTGCACCTGCCAAGCGTTGTTTGTGGTTGATAACACACAAAAAAAGGCAGGGGTGGATGTAACTAGGGGAAGTTACCAGACATAAGAAAGCGGTACAGCGCTGTCAACTTTGACACGACTGATGTAATAACACAGGTGGTGGCTGATAACGATCAGAAAGCCAAGGCGTAGTATCTCGGGAAGCGATACGAAAGACGGTCTGTCAACTTTGATGTGACAGGATGCAGATGGCTTATTAAATCGGACTGTACAACAGAAGCGGCGTAATGCAACGATTACGATTACGAGTATGATAGGACCGAATATGATTACGGATATGAAAGGGGATATAAGGAAGGCGACGGCTGGTTCTCTCTCTCTCGCTCGCTTTCGATCAGTGAGTCAGTGTGGCAGTATCAAGTTGGTTATTGAACGGGTTAGCCGTATTGTGTTAAGAAGGACGTTAGACATGTGTATTCAGTTAGATGAAGCCTAGTGAGGACTGTTGGGGGTCCGTTGATTCAGACTATTATTGTGAAACATCTCTCTTGATTCTTTATATTATTGTGAAGCATTCTTTGATTCATGTAATAAAAGGATCTATAATGAACCTGCATCTTCGAGTATCTATGCTGTGGTCAATGTTGTGTGGAATGAGTGGTTAGACTCGGGAAGGTCACATTTGGCGTTGTCGGCAGGGTAGCCAGAGACTCGTTACATATATATACATATACATATACATATACATATACATATACATATATATATATATATATATATATATATATATATATATATATATATATATATATATATATATATATATATATAAAATAATATTCAAATTATTTTAATACTTAC